GCTTGCAACTTATCTGGGTCTTCATTTAGCGGTACAATATTGTTTGCATACTCCAGATCAGACAGTCTACCGTCTGGGAGCAAAGCGATACCACGAAGAAAGAGCTGTTTCCATAATCAAATCTGTAACACAGCAAAATAGAGGACAACTCTGGAGAACACCGCTCTCCGTGGTGAACTCGGGCGAAAAAGTGCCGTAAGCTTGGACTCGATTTCCGCTATTGGTACAAAGGAATCGTAATATTAAAATTAACTTCTCGAACAGACCTATCAATAAAATGCCGATAATCCAGAAGTTGACGAATAGTGAAGATGTCGATACAATCCAGACCAAGTCTAAGAGAAGCCTGAATCTCACGCATGCACTCTTTACGTGCGGTAGTGGATGGATTATGGTGCCAGCGAGAAGTTTCGAAGTAATATGGATTAGACTGATTCCTCAGTGGTTTTCATAACAGAATCTGTCACATTTCTTGTAAATCGGTAAGATGACCGATTCACAACATTCAGTTAGAACCTGTTGCCTCTCCCATTTTGAGCCCAAGAGTTTCGTCAACTCCAAGACTCACGCTGAACCTCCATCCTTAATAGCCGATGGGAACAGCCCATCTGGGCCGGAGACATAATGCCTTTGGAGATCATGTATTTCCTGGCTAAGTAAAAAGGAAATTTTAACTTCAAAATTACTGTAACTTCTGATTGCTTGGCCTTGCTGGCAAAACACTGAGCGATATACAATGGGTCTTGTAAACAGGAGGTATCTGGGATTATTCGGGACTAAGAGGAGGAACTAGACAGATGAGAGAGAGGTTTTTCCAAATGAGTGCCTAGGATTTTAGGGGACGTTATACTTCGCGGCAGCCCACACCTACAAACGGGCCTTTCTTTGGGAACACTGACCGGAACCTTTGACTCGAAAATCTGACCCACAAGGCAGTGGGGCGTAAATCCAACGCGGGAGCGTGAACGAGGCACCCTTGTGAGAGCTTCTAGAGACCTGTCACGCAAGGCCTTTGGATTTCGATTAATTGTGCTGTTCCGCCCTTGACCTCGTGCACCCAATGAGACAAACGGAGTGTGGACGGGACAGCACCTTATTGGCTGGGGCCTGCTCCGCTTAGGCGGACGGTAGTTATCCAATGAAGTGCGAAGACTTCTCCCACCGTCGAGAGGAAGCCCCAGGTACCCCGCTCCTATGTCCATCTAGCGGGGGTTTTTTACCGGTAAACTGCCCCTCACCGTGTTTATTTACTGGAGTGACCTCTCCAGGGGCGTGACCGGTAAACTGCCCCTCACCGTGTTTATTTACTGGCGGCCTCTCCAGGGGCGGTTGTGGTGTTTGTTTGCTGGAGTAGCCTCTCCAGGGGCGGGTGTAGATAGAAAAGGAGGCCAGGAGGTGCCCAAGCAGCTGGCCTTGTGAGACAGTTTCGCCTGGCCTCTACCCATTGACCTTTCAGGCATGATTGGGTCTACGGCTGTGAAAAAGTCATCCTGTGTGGCTCGCAGGGTCACGGAGGCACGCAAGCCATCATACCACGTGTGGAGTGCTCTCCACGCCGGTCACACATACGCACACACTATTAGTATGTTTGCTCTGCTACGTTGTCCTCTATGCCGATCTCACCTGACTCATCGACCCGTGACCATGATCAACTGACTCTGATACTTGTGTACTCCTACGCACACATGCACACACCTACACAGGTTTACCGCACTGTCATGTCACGGCGGGCCTCGATGACTAACATTCATATCCCTTGTGTTTTGATTGGTTCCCTTTAGGTCACTTTCCAGCATTGACTACCACAGATTCATGCGATTTTGTTCGGTGTATTTGTTCTATTGTCATCGCACTGCGCGCCTGCTTGCTCGCAGTTCTTACTTGTCGAATTACTGGCTTCACAGATTCCGGTGTTTGTTAAACCGAACAATGCCAAGGTTTGAGGGGTGCACATTTTACACCATTGTAATCTGTATTTCAGTATCGCTTTTGTAGAAGAAACCCATTTGTTGAAAGATATCGTCTTCCGAGTTCTTTGCGCGTCACTCTACGTGGATCGTTATAACCTGTGAAGTCAACACTGATTTTGGACTGAAGTGTACAAGTCATTACAATACAAATCTACGTTCATTCAAGCCGGCGACCACCGCAAAAACCAGAGATATGTGAATACGTACGCGTGTGCCTCTTACCTGATTAATTACTATGTCATGCCTTGTTTGGGCGTTATCTTACAAACGAGGTAAACTACGAAACCGATTGTTGAGTGAACGTTGCGCGCGAATCTCAGACTTACTTGGTTTGTCCGATACGATGTGCGCGAGCAGTTGCTTGAAGATCATTTTGGGGATTGAAATCACTATCCACGAGGATCACAGTATCTGCAGCAGTCAAATTCAGTCCTTGACCGCCTAGAATGAACCGGGGAAATAGTAACAGTTTAAGATTGCCTTGTATTCAAGCACTATGAAATAAGCCTACTGTAGGACAAATGAGAACCTCCATCACATCAGAAAAATTTACACACAACTCCATCTAGCTATTGAAGGCTGGGCTTACAATTACCGAAGAGCACCAGGAGGATATCATGCCATCATACGATCTGATTTTCATGAATGATGGTCAGCTGACCTTCGTTCAAATTCGACAGATGTCCCGTCGCTTCGATGAGCGTCGGCCTTTTGGGATAAACGATAGGCTACAAGGAAGAATATACTCTAAGGTTAACGGTAAAATCTTTTTGTACTCGCATTAGCCTCCAAAAAAACATTAAGAAGGGTGTTGAGGAGCAGTGGTCCGAATGTTGGACCAACACAATGTGTTCCCTCTCTAATAAACATATATCGGAACCCTTATTAGCACATATTCTAGTTAACAAAGAAAAGGTTTTCAATTTCTTTTTATTTTTTTTATTACACACCCAAGTGGGATGAACAGAAGACGGGGCGAACCCCATAGTCACGAGGACTTGCTGCTCAGCGGTGGAAACCGGTAACTTGCAGTAGCGAACCACATAAGGCCCCGATAGGTTAGGCGTGGTATTGAACCGTTTCGGGATTTAGTTTCTTTTCTCTCTCTAATTGGTTTATTTTTAACTTAAATGTAAGCTCATGCCAAAAGAAATTAATGTAATACCAATGACAACAACCAGTGTTATACATTCTTCAGATGACATTTAGGGTGGATGTCCCCAGCATGGAACGCTATGCAGTAATAGTCTGTGGAGCGATGAAACAAGGCTTCACCGTTCTCTCGGTTGATCTCTGTTTTTGAAGTGGCTTCAGTTGCATGTTTAAAATCTTTCACCTCTATGTAATGGATAGCGAGGTCCTGATTATCCTGCACGACGACTAGTAATGTACGGAATTCTGGATAGTTTGTGTATCTATTGAAGTTTGGTGGACAGGTGCTGCTAGGCTGTCCAGCCACTAAGCAGGAGAACAATTAAGGTTTTCAACCAAAGCCTTTGGTTCTGACGAGAACCTAACCACAAAGCAGTGGGTAAGGGTGAGTGGAGGTTCATTTATTTGGATCGATTACTCCCATATAATCTTTATCCAGTGAGTCGCCAGTTTGAGTCAAACTCCCAACCTTTGATCTCCATGACTTTTCAGACAGGAATGGATCTGCGGCTAGTTGGATCACAGAGGTGCACAAGCCATTAGACCATGACAAGGTTCAGTCTCATCGTTCAGCACTTCGAACTAGCCATGATTCTGTCATTGGAAATTATCTCGCTCATACCATTAGATTGAATAGCTCAATAAATTATAACGAAGTCCCAACATCTTGCAACGTTGATATATTCATTCCCTTCGATTTTCAAACATTCATTCAACATTTGCAGCTAAAACCATACATAGTGGCCCCAAATGAATTTTTCATTTTTTGATTACATACCTGGGAGGGACGAACATTAGACGGGGCTGACCCCATAGTAGCAAAAACACGCTGTTCATTCATGGAAACCGGGACCCTAAGCCCCGCGACTTGGCAAACCACAGAAGGCCTTGCTTCATTAGCTGTGTTCTTGTATCGGGTGATGGTAAAGTTACCCACTACCAAAGATGGCGGGATCACAGGACCAAAGGCATGTCGGTGACAGCCGCTCAAACTGCTTGGAAGCAATGACTTTGTTTTACGCCAGTAAGTATTNTGATATTCCACCATCCGAAGAATCTTGACCGCCCGTTGCACATGCAGACCACTTGTCTTCCTATACGTCCTGGACCGGAAGAGACTTTTTTATTTCAAGGATGATGCAAGTACAAAGTGATTTGAAATTAAAATAATCTTCATTCTAGCTTTTTGTTCATCAAAAAACACCGATCACAACCAGAGTGACGGTGGCCAATTCCGAGTTATTTGTATCAAGTTACCGACCTAGAGATTAGAGTTCGATTCGTCTACACCTTTTCCCATCAAGCTTTAGCCAAAAGCCACAATACTTTGGCCAAAATCCAAATCCGTTAGCCTCGACCCACATTCCTTTAGTGAAAACCCGCAATGCTTTGGCCACAACCCGCAGTCCTTTAGCCTCGACGCACAACCTTCAGTCACACCGCTATAAGCGAGTCAGATCAAAAACTATCGAAATTTCTAAGGTCAACGAGTTTTGAAAAAAATTGTTTTGCAAATTTCGATATTGCAAAGGTTGACTAAGAAATGAGGTGTGGCGACCGTATGCTGCGCAGTTGACTGTAGTAACGGTATCAAATACCGCACCACATAATGATTNAGTAGATTTAAACGATGTGCCTGTATCGTGAAACCATTTGGTATATCTCGTGCATGGCTTTAGCGTTTTAAGTGAACCAGTTTTTAACGTACTAAATAATAAGCAAATTAAAGGATTAAAATCACTCACCTGTTTGAATTTACTGAAGACCTCTTCCAATAGATTAAAAAAGGGACTGTATGCTGGAGGACATCAGATTTGGTGGTTGGTATTTAACTGCGCATCCAAAGCTCTCCGATGAACGGGCGCATAGTCAAAGATAAAAACTACTGGGACACCCGGTCGCTCAGCAGCGATTAACGTAGAGCAGCTTGATTGGAACACATTGAAAACATGCCAAGTTATCCTTGTATGACATTCATATTGGAAGATACCGGCGACAGATGAACACGTTATGTTCAAGTTGGGTCCTTGGCCGGATTGGAGGCTTCAAATGGCTTTACAGCCCACTTTGGATCGTTTATCGCTGTGACAGCATCATTTGTTGTAATTGGTCTCGTCAATATACAGTCTCAGGGTTGTGTTGCCCGATCTCTGTAACGAATCGGCATATTGCGCTCGTTTTACTTTGACAGCTCCCGAGTTCCGTTCCACAGGCTGGATGGTCAGCTTCCTAACCGAATAGTGATGTCCATCCAGCAATCAATCGATCAATGGAGGTCTTGCTGATAGATGTACCCGGGAAGTTCGTCTTCATTCTTTCCCTTAACTGCCTTAACGTGATTGTAGGGTTCTCATCGACAACATCACACTAACGTTTTGTGAACTCGTCGTTGAATTTAGTCGTATAAGATCCAGGGTTTAGTGTTACTTTCCGATTCGTGGATGCAGTAGCCCGACACGTTTTGATCTTAATGCCGAGGTGTTTTGCAGCTTCTTCCAAATCATTACCTCTGAGTGCACCTTCAATTACTCTTTGCCGTGCTCACCGTTCCGTATCTCCACTTGAAGTCAACTCTGTTCCTGCGAGGTGGATACATTATCAGTTCGGGGATAATAAAAACATCATTCAAAAAATACATCCCCAGTACTATCATCAGTTTATTAGCACTGCAACATTTGACCAATTAACAAAACTTTTGTGTGATGTTGTCGATGAGAACCCGACAACCACGTTGAGGCAGTAAAAGGAAAGAATGGAGACGGACTTCCCGGGTACGTCTATCAGCAAGATTTCCATTGATCGATAGTTTTTGATCTGACTCGCTTATAGCGGTGTGACTGAAGGTTGTGCGTCGAGGCTAAAGGACTGCGGGTTGTGGCCAAAGCATGGCGGGTTTTCACTAAAGGAATGTGGGTCGAGGCTAACGGATTTTGGATTTTGGCCAAATTATTGTGGCTTTTGGCTAAAGCTTGATGGGAAAAGGTGTAGTACTTTTGACATCCTGACAGCAGACTTTCCGATATCCGAGGATACCGGTAACCCAAAAATGACTTCCTGGTCGTTATTTATTTATTCCGAACCGAATCAATGCGGATATAATACGTGAATGGCGGTCAACCGAAAAGCGTGGGTGTTTTACGTATGTCAATAAAGATCAGCCGAGTGGCGTTCAGGAAATTAAATTCCTCTGACTGCCCCACACTGAACTTTGGAAATTGTGAACCAAGATTTGTGAGTGACTTGTTCTGGCGGAGTGAAGGTTCTCTATTTTTTGAACGGCAGTCTCAAATGCTCAAGAGCATTAATAACAGCAACTTGGATGTCCCGAGTGCAAACTACATCACTATTGCCCATTTTCTCCATTTCTGTATTTCCTAAGGCAGCCTTTGCCTCACCGTGGACCCCATTCTGTAAGATGATTGTTCACCATTATATACAATAAAAAGAAAAGAAATAAAATACCATTGGTACTAGCATGTTCATGCGTACACACAGACTTGACAAGCTCACCGGCTTTGGTGCTGAGGAGAAAAATGAACACTTCCTCGCCTTCGTTGAACCCTTTGACTGCTGAACATCGATCTTCTCCACGAATCGAACCATCCAATCGTTCATAAGCGTATTCTTAGAAGAAAAAATAAAATAAAAGATACACCAAACGGCGGCCAATCTTCACAAATAATCCAATTACTAATCCAAAGCAACGCATTATGGGTAACAGATGTGTTTTATTTTGACGACACACCATATACCAATACGGAATTGGTTGCGAACGAATTGGCCTGGCAGTGATGTATGCGAATCCGTGTTAGTCAGTCTCATTTCGCTCAGTTCGCTGAATTCGTCAATTTCCATTCCGAATGCAAATCAAGCTCACCAAATGGGATGAAAAAAACCTGATTATTCAGGTTATTCAAGTACCGACAAACCGGAACATAAACAAGTTTTCTCTTTGTTCAGGCTTGTGAATTCGATTCATGATACATTTGCACCTATGTGCATATCTCGTTCGTATTTCGCTTGAGACGACAAACGCAACATGGCACCATTGTGATCAGATGAGCTGATGATAATGAACAGATTTCGATGCGATCAGTGTGTAGTGTGTTTCAGTGTTAAATGGCATTTATCTATTATGCTCCGATTGTAAAGAATGCCTAGAAGAGATTTCAACAAAAGATATTTCCAGCAAAATGGAATGGAAACAAGTTATCTTGTAAGATATGAGGCCTCCGACCCGGAAGGATTATCCCCTATTGGTTTTCAAGGATAGAGGTTCAGCAGTTGACGAAACTCCTTTCGTATGCGGAAGATAACAGATTTTAGCTGAATGGTGCAAATAGACCATCTAACCGATATACAAGACAGGCAATAGATCCACTTACGAACACTGCCGAAGAATTAGCTTAATCATTACCGTCTCAAAGCTTCTCACAGATATTATATTAAATCGATTATCTGTGGCGCGGTGCACGAGTAAGAACTAGGCTGATTTTAAACCTCTAGGTTCTATCGACCATATTTTTACTGCTCGTCAAATTCCAAAACCAAATCTACTATTTTGTTTTCCTTGATTAAAAATTGGCCTTCGACTCGGTTGACCGTACTGACGCCGCTCCTTCATGAAAGAAGTACTCGAGAAGTTTATTTCAAAATAACAGTCTCTTTTCACTAATAGCCGAAGAGGATTCCGAGCTGATGGCTCCTTTTCGCTCGACTTCATCACAGAAAGCGGTGTTTGTCAGGATTGATCTTCCTCTCTCCCTCCTTTTTGTTCCCCTTTGTAATGGATTTGATTCTTGAAGCAACCTTGTCATCGCTCGAGGATAAGGAGATTGATTTGCTACCAGGTAGTAAACTATCTGATCTGGAGTCTGTAGCCGACATTGTACTGTTAAGTGAAGATCCAAGTCAGTAACAAAACAGTCTGGATAGTACGAGTAATGGTGAAGTTACGTTCAGTATGGATTTTGCAGGATTGGGTTGGTTCGGCTCTCAACAATAACGGAAGAAAGGATAGAGAAAGTGAGTAAATTGTTATATTTGAGCAGCTATACCTCACGCAGTGAACAAATCGCGGAGAAACATTCGGCACGCATACGATTCTGCCGAACGCCGACCAGGAAGAGAAATCATGTCCTCTGATATGGGGCGAGTCTACCGAGTTGCTATTTGAACCATCCTGGACGACGGCTACAGTAAGAGCCATCAAGAACTGAAGACCTATAAAAACCTGAAGTTTTCTTTCATTTGGATCTGCACTAGATCCTAAAGACGACTTGACACGACTGATTATTTAACAGTGAAGGCCACCGGCGCTGCCGTTACATTCAATGACTTTCTACAATTCTTCGAAAATCGTATCCAGTGGTTCGACCACGTAATTCGGTGTCCCACTACAGAACTCTCAAGCAAAGCACTGTTCTTTACTCCGTGTTCGGGATCAATTAATAACCCGGAAGAACAGAGACAAAGAAGACCTATAGAGCGACTGGGTCTTGAAAGCAGTACTGAATTGCAATCTACACCGACCTTGTCTCTGCAAGCCGCGCAGGAATAGGTATCTACGGGGAAATCATTGAAGCCCAATCATCCTTATACAGGAGATGGTTAAACTAAAAGGTAATAAAAACCCCTATACGCACAACATTTGAAAGTTTCAATGAATGAGTCAAGAATAGGAAATATAGTTTTGGATCAAATATATCAAGGAAACTGTGCTTTTTTATTAATAATAACACTCTCGTGTGAATCAGATATCACAATAACGCACCGCAAATGGGCCATATTTTCAATGGCAAACGATTTAGTGTGGCACGGGTTAGGTGGAGTTTGGATTGGGAAGACATTTTTCAAAATATGATACTACTTATAACAAAAACAAATGATGAAAAAGACCAATCAAGGGTGCGGCCAAGACATAACGTTAGTGGTGAACCAACTGGAGGAAAAATACAATACAGACATTCTCTCGATCATTACTTAGAATATGCATTTCAAATGGAAAGGAGATTGAATTAATGCATGACTGATTTCGCTAAATAAAACCGAAATGAAACATTATGATCCAGCTAAAATTAAAAGCTATATGAGAGATTGAGGATGAAAAAGCAGCCTACCTTTCAAAGTTAGGTAATCCTGAATGATGTCTAACATCCGAGTCATCTGTGAGAATATCAAAACCTTGTGCACGGGAGATTGAACCGAAGGGCAGTTGGTACCATTCTCCTTCGGTTTCGCATGCCATGGATCGAACAGATGTGAGAGCAAAGCGTCCAATAAGACCAGTTTACCACTGGCATCGATCAAATGTTGTCCCAGTTCAAAAGGTTCCGGTTCGACTCCTGAAATACAAGCATATATGAATAAAGAAGCGTACATAAATGAGGATTTGCGAATACTCGTTACTCCAAAATTCGTGATCGTGTGGACAGGTCACGCCTACCGGTGCACTTAGAGCACTAACCTTCACCACTCACAGATACCAATGAAAGCACTTGCGTAAATACTGTATTCCTCATGCTATCTTGTACACGACAATTAGCATAGGGGATTGTTTAGAGCAGGTCAGTTAAGGAAGGTTGTGGTGGCGACGAAACAGTAGCATCACATCGGTCCCTAAGAGCTATTCGTACGTAATGGGTACTCGGAACGCTGAGCGAAACGGGCGAGTGTAGTGGGGACATGTTAAAGAAGATCAGAATCAGACAGAAGTTGATACAAACATCTTTGTCGTTCAAAAGGGACATGTCAGCTGAAGTCATGCAAAAAAGAACATACAATGGAGTTGAAAAAAACATTTTCTCAGCAAAGCTTGATGTGTTACTCGCTTCGAAGAGGTTCACGCTTGAGATTAAAAGACAAATTGCTTAACACTGCCGTCTTATTGAATGAAAACCCATTTACTGGTACCTCTGAAACAACTTGCATAGGCTGTACCGTCCGGTGACTATCCGAACGGCTTTGTAAAAAGCTTTCTGTGTAGCCCAATACACTGGAATGATTAAGTCACTCACCAATTCGGTGGTTTAACATCTAACTGAAGTTAAGAACAAGGTGATCATGGTCTAAGCATCCCGCCACCCGTATTGGGTTTGCGATAGAATATCAATGTAGTTTCGTTGTTAGCTACGGCAGAAGTAGTAGGAATTCGTCTGTGCGCGAAACAATTTGTACCGGTGATAACACTCCTTTACCGCCCTCCCCTCTTCCGTCACACAACCACACCTGAAGAAATCTCGATAACCGAACAATGTGATCAGTGCAAATCCGGCCCGGAGATGAAATCAGCTCCAAATATTCTGTGATGTGAAAAAAGTTTTCGATCCCCAACACATTTGGTACGGAGATCAAATCAACTCCCGCCATTAGTAATGTGAATTTTTATTTTCTCACTCATTACCGATATGTATTGCGGTGTTCTGACATGACTCCGATTCATGGAAAACGAGATTGTTTATCTACAAGGTGCTTTGCAGCACTGCTCAGGCAAATTTAGAACGGATTAAACGATGAAGACACGGATCGCGTGGGCGCATATCATGTACATTGTACAACGTATTACAGCATAGAAAAATGAACTACGAGAGGAAGTTAGTTTGTAAGATGCGGCAAGTGATGTGAGCAACGGTTTAGATTGACCGCGTGAGAGAGGGAAACAGTAGGTTCCTCAGAAAAACAGGGTAAATTTTGCTTGACCAAGAAGTCCCGGCAATGCAAGAGCGATAGAAAAAACAATGAGAAAAACAAGAACCGTTTGTCAGTATGCGGGGAGGGGGGCACAATATTGAACAGCGAAGCATAAATCTAATCTGCACGCTTACCATCGAACAGATACGGATGATCGACACATTTGCGCAGCTGCATAATGATATTTTGGATTCGATAAACCGGTACAGAAGATTTCGTAGCCGCACTTATGACCGCCGAGAGCACATCTGTTCGGGTGGGGAAGAAAGGGGCCAGTTGGTGTGAAAATTTTTTGAACGGTTCACCGTTGAAGATAGCCAGATTGTAGCTAATAATCTCCCCAACATGCGTCCTCTAATGAGCATACAAAAAACTGTATTAAAAATCGTAGCGAGTTTCAATATGGATATCTGCGATTTTCAAAAACACCGCACTCAGAGGTTGCAAGTTCCACAGGTACTTTGTGGGAGAAAGTTATATATGTGCACGATATACCGCAATCCAACTTTGGAAGCTTACTGCGGGCATCAAACTTTACTCAGCGCAGCACGCATCGCTTGGTTAGTACAGAACGGAAATCAAAAATAATTGCATCAACTGATTCACTACTGAAATGTAGCAAGTGGTCAGGTTCGGACTGCGGACCTTGTGTGAATGCAAAGTCTGAAGGATAACCAAGCAAAACGGATAACGTTCATCGTATACCTCTGCTTTCAAGTTGTGAAAGAAAACTGAGTTAAATATATAGAAAGAAAACCCGTGCGATAACAGGGTTGAACACAAAATCGATCGATCGATCGACCACATGGTGGCAGAAACCGGTCTTCTACTGACTCGTCATTCACACAGGAAAGGCTCCCTTTCTTACAGGCTACACCCAATTAGGAACGCACAAATATTTCACTAAAACCATATAGTACGGGAAACTATACAATATAATGTACATATGTTTACGCAAATGTGCGTGGGCGTCGGTATCAGAGATCGCGCAATTGAAATCACACAAAACAAAGCAAGGTAGGTCAGAAATGCATTTTCCGATGAGAAACCCGAGATAAAATTGACATATCTCACGGGACGAAAATATGTTCAACTACCTACCTAATTCGATAAAGAGCGCCGTTGAGCATTGATTTGCCTGCATGAAGTATCCAAAGAAATATTTACTTCATGTTTTTACTTGTGAATGGAGTGAATTAGCTTTTTTCGACGGTAGTTTCAGTTTCAGTTTCTACAACCATTAACCATGCACTTTCGTGCGTCGCTTTTGATTGCTGTCTTTCGGTTGCACATTTGGATGAACAATAGGAGGAAAACAGGAAGGTTGAAAGTAGGAACGAAGAGAAAATTGAGAATTTCAGTGGTCTAACGTTGCAACGAAATTGAGATGCAAGAACGCCACTGCGTCTCATTATGTCACAGTATCTCTAACCACTGGTTACTACGATCCCGAGGAGCCTAACACGACCTATGTGACCCAGATTCGTGCAATGCTGCGTAGACAGCGGTGTTCTAACACCGACAGTCTACCTTCATCCTGTTTCCTTAATGGCCTAGCTTGGGCACCGTATAACAGAACTGGCTGAACTGCCGCAGCATATACTCGACACTTCACTGACAGCCGGATGTCACGACGGCGACACAGATATCTCAAGTTGGCGAATGTCAGCCGAGCCATTTGTATGCTAACTGATAATTCATCCGTGATGCGTCCACCAGGTGAGATGTAGCTACCCAAGTAACAAAACTTATTCACTTGCTCTATTACTTACCCAGTTAGGCTGAGGCTCGGTGCTGGACCAACCCAGTCTTGTAGTAACATTTTACACTTTGAAGGTGCAAAACGTATACCGAACCTGGTTCCACTAGCACTCAAACTATCCAGAAAAGCTTGTAACTTACCTAGATCTTCACTTAGTAGCACAATGTCGTCTGCATATTCTAGATCC